CGAACCGTGGTAATCCTTTGGTAAGTATGTCGGCGACTTGATCGTTTGTTTTTACGTATTCGACCGATACTGTTTTGTTTGTTACTTGATCGCGAAGAAACTTTAGCTTCACGTCCATATGCTTTGTAGCAGCATGATTTGGAGCCAAGTTTTTAGTATTTGCAATTGCAGATTGCGAATCAGAGTAAAGTATAGTAGGATTTAGCTGTTCGAATCCTAGTTCTTTTAGCAGAGTTCTGAGAAATAATAGTTCTCTAGTTGCCGTAGCTGCTGCAATATATTCGGCTTCCATGGTAGATACAGCCACTGAGGTCTGTTTTGTTGATCTCCACGAGATGCATCCATTTCCAATAAAGAATGCGTAGCCTGAAGTAGATTTTCTGGAGTCTACATCTCCTGCCCAATCAGCGTCGCAATATCCTGTTAGAGTAGGGGAATCCCCACCAAGTACAAGAGAGTAGCTGATTGAATGTTTTACGTATCTTAGTATACGTTTAACAGCAGTCCAATGAGAGTCGTTTGACTTGTGCAGATATCTGGAAACTAGTCCGATAGCAGCACCTAGATCAGGTCTTGTAGCAACCATGGCGTACATTAATGACCCAACGGCTTCTCTGTATGGCGCGTCAGTAGTATTTTCTGTTTCTAGAGCAGGTGTCAGAACTATTCCAGGATCAAATGGAGTACATGCAGGTTTGCAATCTGTCATGTTGAATCTTGTCAGTACCTCCTTTAGATAATGTTCTTGAGATACGCTGATCCTTTTGTTCTGCCTGTCTCTTATAACGCGTATGTTGAGGCATGTATGGATTGGTCCTAGGTCTTTCATAGAGAATACCTTGAATAAGTCCTTTTTAGCTTCGTCAAGATATGGTCGATTGTTTCCGACGAATAATATGTCGTCAACGTATATGGCGATCATGACGAATAAATGTTGATCACGTTTGATCATAATGCACGGATCAGAGATGCATTGAATGAATCCTAAGTTTGTACATTCTTGGACAAGAATTTCGTTCCATTTGTGAGGAGACTGTTTTAGTCCGTATAGGGCCTTTTGTAGTTTTCCGACAGTTCTGCCCGAATCTTTGTTGTTGATATTGTTGTTGTATCCTTCAGGTAATTCGATGTAAAGATCTTCAGTGATAACCCCGTTTAAGAATGCATTGTTAGCATCTGTGTGATCGATTTCTAGATCCAATATAGCGGCGAGAGTAAGTAGTGTTCTGAAAGATGTGAAACGAAGTACTGGTGCGTATGTTTCATTATAGTCGATTCCTGGGATTTGAACGAATCCTTTAGCGACTAGTCTAGCCTTGTATTTGTCGATAGTACCATCGGAATTTCTTTTGATCCGGAATACCCATTTTACTTGAATTGGTTTTCGTCCACTTGGGAGCTGGCACTCGATCCAGGTTTGATTTTTATGAAGGGCGTTCATTTCCAAGTCGGCAGCTAGTCTCCAACTCTGGGAGTCTTTAGTAGCCATAGCTTGTTTCCAGTTTGTTGGAATTATATTGTCCTCGATTCCAGCAGAAAAGTAGGAGAAGTCCTCATCGATTAACTCAGGAAATGAGTGAGGATTTTTGTAGAGAGGCGAATAAGTGGATAGTTCAGCTTTATCTTCGACGGTCTCTATGGCAGTTAATGCTCTAGTATTGTTCTTGAGATCTTTTTCGTTAAGAGAGCTCAGTATTTGCTTGTTTCTGGATGTTCCGCGTCCAGTTGGTGGAGAAGAATGTGATTCTGGTTCTTCATCAGTAATTTCTTCATAAATATACCCCTTGTATGGTCTAAGTGGGTTTGGCAGTCTTGATGGATTGAATCCTGATGGACTGGAAGATTCAAATGGGTCTTTAGTAGTAACCCCACCAGATCTGATAATTTGACTCGCTTGATTTGAGTCCTCAGGGTTAGGCCTGGATTGATGAACAGTAGGATATGTTCCATCATTGTATTCGCTAGTAGCGATAATAGGTTGAGTTTGACTCGAATTTCCCAGATCTTCCTCTTGCTGGGTTTCGGTGACTGTTATAACCTCCTTGGCTGGTGTTGCCTTTTTGACTGGTGACTTTTGTGTCCTTGAAATTTCTAGTTGAATAATTTTCAATTTTCCAGTTTGTTGCGAGCGTTGCTTCGTCTTTTGATTTTTGAATGGGAAATTGTTCTCATTAAACTTTGCATCCCTTGTTGATATTATTTTCTTTGAATCCAGATCGTATAGTCGATAAGCCTTGGATCCTTGTTTGTAACCTAGCATAACACAATTGGATGTTCTTGAATCCAATTTCCTCAGTAGTGTTGAAGGTATGACTGCATTTGCTTCGCAGCCAAAGGTCTTGAGATGTGAAACCCATGGTTTCTTTCCAAACTTTTTCTCGTATGGAGTTAGGTTGTTTATAGCCGAATGTGGCGACCTATTCTGTAAGTACACGGCAGTTGCAGCTGCTTCTGCCCAGAATCGTTTTGGTAGTCCAGCGGATAGGATCATTGATCTGATCGCGTTTCCAATGGATCTGTTTCTTCGCTCAGCTACCCCGTTATGCTGAGGAGTATAAGGGGCTGTAGTCTGATGCTCGATCCCTTTTTTTTTGAGGTAGGCGGCGAAGTCTTTTGAGAGAAATTCTCCGCCATTGTCACTTCGTATGCGTCTTACAGGGATACCTGTCCCAGTTTCCATAAGCGCAATGTGTTCTTTCAAGCGTTCAGAGGTCTGTGACTTGGCTTGTAGTGTGTATAGGTGTGAATACCGCGAGAAGTCATCTACAATAATCAAGTAGTACTTGGCCTTTCCTAAAGATTCTACTTCGAAAGGTCCTGCTAGATCCATGTGTAGCAGCTCGTTAATTCCATTTGTTCTTGATTCTCTGATCCGTTCAAATGGTGCTCGGTGGGCCTTGCCTTGGGTACATCCTGAGCAATTTTGGTTAGTCAAGCCTTTGTCTGATGTCAGCTTGAGTCCGTTTGTAAGGTTGGCTAGTGCTTTGATAGCATCAGTGTTTAAATGGCCAAATCTTTTGTGCCATGTTTCTAGAGATACAGCTGGGGAAGCGATCGATGAAAAATATGCATCATCGTTATCGCTATCATCGACAATTTGTGATCTGTAGCTTTGATGAATGGGTGTGTGAATTTTGCAGTCGGCGATGCTTAGATTTTTAACTCGGTTGCACAGTAATATAGGCTTCTTGTTAGCAGCGTATATGGTCCGAGAGTATCTTGTGATATCGATATCACAGCCTTTGTCCAGGAAGCTAGTCTCCGAGAGCAAGTTTACTTTGAATGTCGGCACATATAAGACATCTGCCAGATGAATCGTTGACTTTCTTCCGTTGTATTCGGACTCGATCGTCAAGGTTCCTTTTGCAGTTGCCACATGCTTTTCTGCACCAGAACAGTGAATCTCACGTGTGATTGGGACTAAATCGGTCAACCAATCTTTGTGACAGATCATGTGAGCTGTTGCTCCTGAATCTAGTATGAGCTTGTCCTGCATGCCATTTGTACCATTTGTTGCTTGAAACATAAACTCGTCTTGAGGTGTTTTAAGCGTACTTGTATGATCTTGCGTTTTCGAGATGTCGCAAGCATTTAACCCATATGTATCATTATTTTGGCTGTAGTAGTTGCTGTTTTGGGTAGGCAGTCTACAGTCTTTTTCTGTGTGGGAGCCTAGTCTTCCACAGTTATTACATAGGACTTTTCTCTTTCCGTTTGGCCAGAAAGGTGATCTTTTAGAATCTTGATTTTGCGGAGCTGTGTGTCGTCCGTTACTACTTTGCATTTGATTTGCATTGTTCCGATTGGAATTCTTTGACATGAGCTTTGTATTTGATCTCGTGTTTGCCTGGTGTGCGTGTTCACCAGTAGTTATTGGAGGTAGTACTCCTGCAGAAATTAGTGACCGTTCTTCGGCCAAAAGATCTCTCCTTGTAGTTGTGGTAGAGAACTCCTCTTCTGACAGTCTGTCGTAGCGAGTCCGTAGATTTCCCCAGTGATGGGATACCACGATAAGTCGACTTATCATCATCTCTATGAATTCGACGTCAGGATAGCATCTTTTTTGATTTGCCAGTTTCTTGCGAATTTCAATCATAGAGTTATAAAGCACTTCTACGCCTTGATCCGGGTCGTAAACTATGGCGTTTAAATCTGCAAATAGTTGTATGCGTGAGGATGTGCTTCCAGTAGAATAGTGGGCATGGATAGCTTTGTAGGCATCGTGCGCACTTAGTGGAGCTCCTTCACTGTTATGGGTTAGGTCATCGTTTTCTTTGCCAGTAGTGGTGGCAAGTATGCTATATGCCTTGTAATCATTCACGATGAATGTATTGGTCTTTTCTTCTGGTGGGGCGATTTTAATATGAAGCTCCCATAGATTAAAGCTGCTCATTGCAGCATGAATGCCATTGTTCCAATCTTGGAAATTTGTATTAGTCAGGAGTGGTATGAATAAGCCGTCCGCGACCTTGACTCTTGTGCTCTCTTCTGGGCTCATAACCTGTCAGAATATTTAGAGCTTCGTGATTTGTTTTAATGATGGAATAGTATAAAGTATAAAGTAGAATATAATCTGTAACTGTTAGTAGTTATCAGAAGAGAACAAATCAGAAGTGTAAGAGGAAGTTGCACTTTAAATCAAGATCAGCAAACTTAGTCTTTTCAAGAGTAGTGAAAAGATGTAATAAAGTAGTTAGGAAGATGAAATAGTTTGAAGAGTTGTTTATTGATAAAAGTAAGCATTCTAGCTTTTATAGTAAAATAAGAAGTAGTTAAGGGAGAGAGTGGAGATATAAGATCTTCACTCTAAGCTTCGCCGTTGAGGGTCCTAAGCTTCCCAGTTCTTGTATAAAGGGAACGATAGTCATTGCCTTAAATAAGTTTCACCTTGCGTATAGCTTATTTGTTATACAATGCTTGTTAGTTTATGCAGCATCCATACCATCCATTGTTTGGGATTTTAAGTTGGTGCTTTTTTATAGAATTAGCTTTGCCATAGGTTACCGCTTAAGAGTATCCGTCTGGATATTCCAACAATTAGATGGTACAAGGATGTGTCAACAGAGCCATTATTTGTCAAAAAGCGTATGTTACAATAGTAAACTTGAATTTGGACTTTCCATGCTAAATGCATATCAATCCCTTGAATGGACACAATTGTATGATGCCAGTTGTATTAACAACATTGAATTATCAAATAATTGGAATGGTTGGAATGATTGAAAATATGTCATATCAGTTGTAAAATACAACTATCACTTTCTACTCTTCAAATCTGGTTGTATTAGTGGGAGTTGTATAACGTATTGCTTCAATCCATGAATGGGTTGTACCTGCTCTGTGCCATCAATTGGGTTGAAACTCTGCTTTTTGAACCCTTTAAACTGGTGAGGCGGAACCACAAAATAAAGTTTGGGTTCATCATACAAATTGCACAGTTTTGTAAGAATATCAACTCCACAAATAGGATGTTCAGCAACAGCTGTAAATTGAAACATTCCCTGTTGACTGAGTGAATCAATTGCTGCAAAATTATCGTCATCTGTCGGTTCGTAATAGTTGCCATCAAGTGCTGCAGCAGTAGGGATAGTATCTATTCCAAATGTAATTCGTTGGCCATTGAGTGCATCCAAAGTAATCTTTGTTGCTTTACCATCTTCCAGGCATCTGCATTTGAGAGTTTGTCCACCAGTACAAAAAACCACATGTCCGTATATTTCAAACAAATGTCTTGAAATTTTGGTTGGAATACTATCAAACATTTCCTGTATATTGGTAATCATTTGAGCAGAATGACGTTTCCAGAGTTGTTCTCCAACATATCTTGAAGCAATATCAACATGCAGGAATTCGTACTGTCCGTCGTCTGACACAATGGTATGAAGCAATGTATGAGTAGTTGCAGATATCTTGATTGTGAATCCAATGTTGTGTACCCCTTTGACTGCATCAACATCAGCCAAAGCTTCCTCCATTGGATTTGATACAATATCAAAGACAGAACGAGCTACACCACCATACATGCGATATCTCTCATTGATAGTCTCAATGGGTACATCCGGATAGCAATGACGTCGGCAAGTCTGTAACTCGTCCAAAGTCCAAACAGGAAAATCCCATTCTTTTGCCATTTTTTGTTTGACGAATTCCTTGTATCCTTCAGACTGAGGAGATGACATGAACAATACAATACAACATGATGATCTTGGAGTCGTATGTCCATCAACAACATACAATGTGTCTTGTTTCCAAACCAATCCCTCCGCATCAAATCCAAGCTCTGTGACGAGTTGTTGCTGCAAGTCAAAGCATTTGTACGAGGATCCCACTTGATAAACAATCCGGTTTGGCTTCAAAAACAGAGTTTTCGTGGTAAAGTCATCCATCAAGCGATGCAATATGTAGACAAAAAACAGTGACTTTCCGATGCCTGATGTTCCAGATATTGCAAATGATTTCATGCCACGATCAATTTGATCCAAAATCAAGCCAAACACATCATGATAGCACTCTCTAACATATAGCTTTTGGATTTTGTCTTGGGTGTATGGGAAAAGGACATGATCTGTCGACTGTATGCATTCATTGACCAGCTGGGCGTTTGCAAACAACTTGAATTGGGTTGTCAAATCATTGGGTTCGGTACGCTGTCGTTTAGGAGAAAAGTCTTGATGGTTTGCTGTTGATAAAGAAGTAGAACCTGCATCAAAAATGGCACTTTTGCTTGGTTTCCTGGTAGGTAGTGGTAAACAACTAATAACAGCACAAGAGCCATCTTGAGTAAAGTATTATTGAGGAAGAGAGTCGAGTAAAGCCCAGGTGTTGATTAGTTGGTCCTTGTTGATGTTGGTGTATAGTTGCAGTTGAGGAGCATCAATGTCAGCCATAGCAGAACCATACTCTGCCTTGATAGCATCCTGAACGTCACTCAGGTCTTCAAAGTCAGTCACATCGATTTCAGTAGAAATAGTGTCATATTCAACATTGAGGAATCGTTTTGGTATTTTATGAAAAGAAAAAAGAGTAAAAAAGCAATTTATTTGTCAAATTGTAAAACAAAAATCGACTTTTTAATCGAGTCAAAATAACAAAATTTTGGGATATTTCAAGACAATTCACACGATTTAAATATTTGAAAATTAGTCAAATTTACACCAGAATTAATGTCTCATTAATGTGAGACATTACTAGTGTGAGAGTGTTGACTTGCATTGTGTGAGACATTAGTAGTGTGTGAATGTGAGACATTTCTGAATAGTTTAACAATCAAAAACCATCAACAATGACGTTTGAACTGGAATTCACATGACTTTCTTGGTTTCTTCCATCTTATAAACACACTCACTTTCTTGTTAATAAACAACACAATCAAATATTGATTCATTCCTTCACATCTTCAATCAACTGCAACACACTTGACAATAATGACAACCATCAATATGCCATCATATGTTCACGATCCTCAAATTCAAAAGTCAATTTGAAACCCCATTTTTAAGCATCTACAAGTCTGCAATATCAGATTTGTGGCTGATACATAATAGGTTGCCAATAAAAGTCGACAAACTGAGCAACTGCAATGTGCCTTGCTGTATGATAGTAACATATCAGAAATTATGAATGCTTTCAAAATCAAAAGTCTGTAAATGATGTCACTGCAGGCTTGTAGCCTCTGTTTACAAACCTACAATCAACACATTCACTGGATTCGTATAATGGTAAATGCTGAACCACAAACCGCTGATGATATTATTATGGACGATGCTCATATTATTGGAAATCAAACGATTGGTGCTGTTTCAGATGCTGTTTCATCACACAGAAAGTCTTGCTACAGAGTCTGAATCCAATAGCAGTGAATCTGCAGTTTGACCAACACAGTCAATAATTATCGTTTCAAACTCGAATCAAGTGATGATGTTGCTGTTTCAGATGCACTCAATGACATGAATGCAGTAACATTGAAACCAACTCAAATCATTGATCATGAACCAATTTACCGTGTCTTGATAAAAACACTGATAAACCATCATTCATACATGAGCTTGTCAAAAGTATGAACTGATTGCTGACAAAAGTTTAAAGTGGAACTCAAAACAGTGCAACTCAATGTGCAGCTTTCCAACGACTTTCCCACTACAAAAAATACAATCTTGGAACTCAAAGTTTACATCAACAATACTTGTGTGTATTGGCCATCAATGATGTTGTTGGTGTAGCATACACAATGTGCATTGCATAAACGCTTGTTTGTTTGCTGGAGCTATTTCAAGCAAGCAAAAATACTAAAAGGTTCAGTTTGATGAATTTCTGGTGTATATTTACAATGAATTCAAACTCGAGAGATTGTCGTATTTTGCATACAAGACATACTACAATCTATTACAACAATATCGTGTATTTCAATATGCACCCATTCGATTTACAACAGTGGCATAAACATCATCACATTTGAACAATGGTTCAGTCGTACAAAGTCCAATAACAGCCATGAATTGTATCAGACATGAACATACTGGTGCAAAATTCACATCAAATAACACACCGCAACAAACATGTTTCTGGTAGATGGTGGAATTGATGTCATTGATTTTCAAGTACACGATATTGATGTTGAATGATTCAATAAACTATACTCGTCGACTTTGTGTACTTTTTTTCAGTTGCATCGTTTCTGATTCCAAGTTTGAAGCATAATAGTTGCGACAGCGCTGTTGTACAATTTGCTTGTTTTGTGAATAGTAGTCATGATACCACTTGTTTGACGTTTCCTGTTGTTGAACTGGATATGTATGTCAAATTTGGATGCCAAATTTGAATGCATTGCAAGTAATTGTTGTAGTTTTTGATCGAGTCAATGAATGGCATTTATAGTTGCTCTAGAAAACAAGTTGTTTGAAATGTCCTGTCATATGTCATATGTTTTGTTGTTTTCATGTTCACTAATTGTTGATAATGCATCCAATTGACTTCTGTTTTGACACTGCTTATTTGTCATTGTTGGATCTGGGATTCTAGATTCAGTAACAAACGTTTCAGCAATTTGGATGTGTTCAAATTCATAATACTTGCAAGTCTGAATCATTTGATCATCATTTTAAATTGGATACGACTAATCATTTCCACTAACCACAGTATACATAGTATACACAGCATTACTGTATATTGACTTGTATTTTACTCAAAGGTTTGTCCATTCAGTATTCCAACACAATTTCCAACATTGATTGAATGGTTTGCAGTGTTTGTTTTAATTGAACCACTTGATGGATCACTTTCATATCTTGATTCAGCAATATCACCAACTGCACAATGATGGATGTGATTGTAGTCAAACACAATATATTGCAAGACATTAACGTATTGGTTAGTTTTAGTATATTATTGATAAAATGCAATGATGTTTTGTAATGGGGTGTTAAATCCTTCAATCAAACATTGTCTGTTGTGATTTCCAACATTGACAGTGACATGGCAAACACCTTTTGCTTGTGACAGACTTTGAACAAGTGTATTGTTCCGTTTGTTGTACAATACACGACATGGTCAGTTGGTGATATCATGCAACTGACAAGTGATTGCAAGTATGACTGATAGTTACAATCAACACTGGTTGTTATGTCATTGATGTATATGGAACAAACCATGTCAATGTATCAATCAACAATCCAGTAACTATTGATGTAATACTCAACACAGTATACACAATCAATGATATGATTGTTGACCCATTCACAATATTCGACAAATACCAACACATCAGAAAGTTTAAATTTATTCAAAATCAAATTGATCGACACATCATCAATCCAAATCTCTTCTCCCATTGCTAACGCTGACCATTGTTTCAATCCAAGAGCCATAGATTTATGATATTCTTTGCGTTTTTTGTTTCGTAATTCTTTATACTCTACAAGCCTTTTCTTTATACGATTAAAGGTATTTTGATCTCTTTTGTTCAATCCAGTCACTTGATTTGAACTAGTATTGCCTGGCTCGATTTTGTTCATTGGCTGTTGCTGGTTTTGGTTGGAAGTACTTGGGCTGGACTGATCAATTGGTTGTGTTTGACCTCGTTTGGGAGTGCTCGGACCAGCTACATCAGTTGGTTGTTGTTGGTCTTGGTCGAAAGTGGTTAAATCGATTACATCAATTATGCGTTTCCGGCCTTGTTTGAGAACATTTGGACCAAATACAATCACAGTCGGTCGCTGGTTTTGATTAGGAATATTTGGACCGGGTTGATCCATTATCCCTTGCCGGATCCGGCCGGAAAGGCTTAAATCCACTGGTTCTTCCTGGTATTCATTGGAAGTGCCTGGACTGGGCTCATTGGTTGGACCAGACACTTGACTCAAAGTTCTTGATGCTTTGGGTGAGCCATCGTTATTAGTCGGTATCAGTATTGCATTAGTGGCTGCTGCTACACTCAATACGAATAGAATATCAACCAATTTCATCAGATTGGTCAATGGGTTTAAACAATAGTACAAAAGTAGAGTGTTAAAACTGGTGTCGATTATAGGAATGAAGGCACTCGATTGTATTTGTATGTTTTGTATAGCAAACCAACCCTAACCCTTTTAGGTTAACCAATTATACAGGGTTACTTGATTGCTTGTAGTGGGTCACTATTAAATTAGACAATATGTTACTCCCTATCCACAATATCATATTGATCAATTTGATGATCGTGTCGATTGAACTATGCTTTTATGACCCTTTGATCAGGTATATTGAAAAGCACCCTTCAGGAGTGTGTTGTGGCCGCAAACGCTTTGTTTTACAACTGTACTCATGTCAAATGGTTCACTTTAATATTCATCCTGCAATGGCTGTTCTAAATTGCAATATACAATGGTTACTACACATTGACTAAACTGTGTGTTTGATATACAACAACCATCATATGACACACAATCAGACTATAGTGTTAAATCTACACTTTGTGCACTCTTAGTAACCATACAGTGTACGATCAACAAGTTTGAACCCATATTCATGTATTGTGTTTGACTGTCAATGTTGTCAATACAACTCTGCACACACATTTGTTGTATTCTGAATCACGGATACGATCGCAATCTAGTTCAACAACAATCATGACACATGTCAGTAATACAACTGTCTATTACACACCAACACTGTTATTTAGTGGTCCATTTACATCAATACGACTGCAAGTTGTTGTTATATCACGTATTCTTGGCATGGTTTTGATATTGCACATCCAGTTCCATCACATTGTTGCTGACCCATCATTGTAACGATGTATGTCCCCATAATCATAGACATGAGCATGTGGTTTCACGTATAATATTACAACCACGCATGTCGTTGGTTGAATCATCACTACTAGTGTATACTACACTACAGTGCATGTATGTTGGCATGTGTTGTACCAATTTGATTGCATTGCTACAATGTGGCATGCTCCAACCTGTTTGAATGACTGTTGTGCAACATATTGATATTGACCACATGTGATACTGGCCACCAACAAAGTGATCAGCGGTATTCGATCGTATCATTCAATCACTGACTGCCAATACTTCAATTATGAATATTATCCAACATTTCATGACACCATTTGATACATTCAGTGCACAGTAGCTGATTGGTGCAATATGATCAATCCAAGCATACTATTACATTGGAAATGGTGGTGACAATGCAAGGTGTTTATTGGACAAACAAGATTGAATGCTTACATGGCAAATGCAAATTGACAGTATAAATCATACAATACACACTGCAGTACAACATATTCTAAACAAGGTTGTTGATAGCGTGATTCCAGTTTTACAATGAAATTGAATTACCAAGCAGTCTAGTGTCCAAACATTGATTTACCATGCACTTTTAGTTATGGTGGTTTGCGTAGAAATGTTCAAGTATGCCTTCTATATCCAATGAACCTCAGCATTTGTCGTTTGAATCTATCAAACCTTGATTCTGGTGGAAGAAGTTGAATATCATATTCTTGCAGTACACTAGATTCACTTGAATATCTAGCAATTTTAGTCGTTGGTACAAAGTGTACTTTAGCTTCCCTTGAACCAGCATCGTGACTTGACTTTTGCTGATGTTTTTTAGAATGATCGTGTTTTGAGCCGTGGGGTTTAGAAGTGGATCCGGGTTTCAAGATGGATTTTAATTCTGGAGTAGGTTCAGATACAACTCTGATTGATTCTTCTTTGAGAGGTTCAAGAGCCAACTTGCGACACATCCATAATCTTCCTAGCTTCAGTTTCCTGAATTTCTTTTTATCAGATGAGCTCATTCTACACTCCTTTTGTTTAGTTTCTAGTATTCTTTCCTTTGCCTTGATGCTCATCTTGTGCGGATATCCGTCTCCAACACTTTCTGGAATTTCCATACCCATATTCTTCATTATTTTTTCGACTCTATCCAGCCTTTGCTGATGTGTAAGAATGGGCCGTTCATTCTCTGGGATATAGTTTTTAGGGAGATGGCAGACGTCGTCATATGGTGTGTTGTCAAATATATCATCATCTGACTGTTTGGACTCAGAGGATGACAGTGATTCATCGGACTGTTCAACAGAGCTGTCTGAATCATCGGAATCTACAGTCGACTGAGCTACATCATGATCCGCTCCAGTTGATTGTTGCTCTGTTCCAGTTGAAGCGCAAATACCAGTGTGTTGCTGCATGTGTGTTGAACATTTTTTTACAGGTTCTGATTCGCTGGCAGACGGACAATCAATGACTACTGCACTGACTGTCACCGACAATAGCAACAACACAATAATCGATATGAATTTCATCCTGTCGACGAGAATGAATGTGATAAAGCTTGTCAACTAGTAGGACAATTCTTGGTAATGAATGAGCCAGTTGTGGATATGAACCATACCTTCATAGCGATTAAATATATGATCAAGACATACGGGTTATATGAGCTTATGCAGCAACAGCTTGACCGCCATTTAGGTATATGTAGCACAGATACTCATGTGTAAACTCTTTTATGCACAACTCTTCAGCCATTGAATGAAACAGGACTCATAGTCAAGGACTGGTGACCCTAATCCATATACTAAAGAATATGTCAAGATCGATTGGCATAGTCAGTCAGTTTCAGGTTACGGTCAGTATAGGGTAACGGTTTATCCACACAACAGCTGGTCAAATATTAGTGGTAAAATCCTTCAAACGACTCTGCCTCAACACTTGATCTAGTGATATGATACTGTGTTGCAGTCCTGTTCAATGCAGTATGGATTGATGGTCATATCAGCAATATCAATACTTTATGCCAACTGTAATACTTTCAATACGCCAACTCAAAGTATTGCCAATGATTAGAAAAGCTTCAACAGAACTCTTGAACTGTCAATTGTCATGCTATCAATAGTATGAACATCCGACTCAATACTGTACATGACTGGTTGTCAAGAGTCTTGCAGCGTTTACTTGGCAAACTGGATTCCTATTTCGATTATACAAACATGGCATCAAACACATGTCTACTTTGGAACAAGACGTTGAGTTGAATGTCCAGCAATATACAAAAATATACAAAAATAGCACGAATTGAATGTCAAAACTCGATTACTAACAATTTCAAATCTACAGAAACGAATACGACAACTTGCAGTCTAGTCATGTAAACGGAATACTAACAGTGTTGGTGTGTAATAAACAGTCAGTGTCATGACATGGTTGACAATACAGTGGTGTTGTCGGTGGTGATTGACATGCAAACAACAGTTGCATTACTGACATGTATCATGATTGTTGTTGAACTAGATTGCGATCGTATCCGTGATTCAGAATACAACAAATGTGTGTACAGAGTTGTATTGACAACATTGACAGTCAAACACAATACATGAATATGGGTTCAAACTTGGTGACCATACAATGTATGACTACCAAATGTGTCGAGTATCCATGCAGAATACTAAATGGTAATATGTGATGATCCAAGGGACTCGTATCACCAATGTTTGTGTGCCATAATTCCACTATTTGACTTGGTAAACAATATGAATTACACCTATTGATCAATTTACTTTTCTGATTGCTCATCATACATTCTACTTGTTCGTGTCACCAATATACAATCAATCAATTACTACAAGACTGACTATAACTCATATTTATTAATAAATGACTCTTCCAACCATTTCAACATATTATTGTTTTATTACATCTTTTCATTATCATTGAAAACCCCAAATCTGCTGATCCTGAATTATTGTGCAACACCCATTACACTTTTGGTTTGTTATTTTCTGTCAACTACTAACAGTTACAAATCATACACACACACCTCCATTTAAATTAATATAAATCAGATTACACAAAACTCCAGCAGAGTTGTTGGTTGTTGATGGGCAAGTTGGATACAAAGTTGTTTTCAATCAATCCGTTGGCAATCATGATAGCATACTTTTATTTGTATGTACGCAATACTGCTGTCATCTTGTGTATGGTGTTTCGTATTCCTACAAACACATTCCATTTCCAGCTGTTTCTTTTGCAGACATTTGATGTTGTGTAACAATGAGGGTGTAAAATGTAGTACAGAAATAGACGACTAAATTACAATTATTCCAACGGATTTAGTACTCTTGTTCAAGTAAAACAGTATCATCCGATGCTCACTATACACTACTTGTACGTTGAATCGTGCCAATCACTTGCTACTTTAATAAACATGGAATATCACAACAATATTGATGACCAACTAATAGCCGAGTGTCAACTTATTCCAGTTTTGGTTTATGCTCATTTCTTAACTCTAACCCTTGACTATAGCCATTTTTAGGGTGAAGCTTTATAATCAACCATATGATATTTGGGTGTATGGTCAGATAGCAGCTCAGCCAAGGTTGCAGGTCAACATATAAAGGAAGGCTCTTCAAAGTTTGGCATTGACAACAAATCAACATTCAACCCTGACAACGCTAGCCCTTGAAACGGCTACTCAAAAACATGCTTTTAATATCATTCATTCAATAATGGATATAAATACAGTTCAAAAACCGACTTGTTGAATGACATTACAACTTGCTCAACCAAACCAGTAGAATGAAACTCGCAGTTGCTGTATTGTCATCGATCTTGCTTGCCCTCTCGGTTACTACAGCCAATCCAGTCAACCCCAGTGCAACTACAGATGTTGAAACTAGCACTTCAACCGTCATTCCCAGTGCAACTACAAGTACTGAAGCTAGCACCTCGTCAACTCCTAATCCAAACGGTATAGGCTTGGGTGCTCTTGATACACTTCCAGGTAACGTCAAGTATTTGCTCGAAAGATACGTAAAGCTAGATCATAATCGTAATCATCATGAAAAAATATGCGACTCGTTAAAATCTGAATATGAGGATCAAAAGAAACTGGTAACGGACTTGGGAACAAAGCTTTATATTTTGAAACGTAAATCTCGAGAAAACGGTGGCAGTCCAGAATATGATGGTGAAATTCAGGAGACTAAGATTGATCTCGAAGCCCAAAGATCCAAACTTTTCGATATTAGAAGCCGCTACATGGAGTGCCGGCTCAAGAACGATTGTTTTGAAAATGCAATAGGTTTCATCAAAATGAGCCTCGCGGATCTCATTTTCGGAGGAAATTGGGATTCTGAATCACTTGATCAGCAAATTGATCTTATCAACGCACATCCTTCCGTTAAAGGTTACCTTGACGAATTATCATTAGAATACAGTGAGATTCCTGGTCAGAATCCTAGTGATCAACAATGTCAAGAGTCGCAATCGCCATTGGATACACCATCTGGATCTGGATCCTCTGAACAGGAAGCTCCACCCAATAAACGGAAAAGGGTTTCCAAGCTTGTGGATGAATTGAAATCATTCTTTAAACGACCCAAACATGACGATCCATCCGTTTGATTTGAATGTCAATCTGGACTTGTTTCAACCGATTCAATTGTCATTATGGTTTAATTTACAATAAATTTGTATGTACATGCATTATATCTGATCATTGTACACAGTCTTGATTGGCATGATATCATATTGTACATTGACACTTGTATTTCCAATACGATACAGTTGATTGTATATTGCATAGTTGTACACATTGATGATGCTGACATGCATGTGTGTATTGTGTCGATATAGTATTTCTTGACATGTCGTATTGACACATGCAACACCAATACCAACAATAGTCATGTGTGTTGATATCAGATCCGACCAACTCGATCAATTTGACTGGTTTGACTCGTTGATTGTGGTGTCAAAATGGTTGCATCAATAGCCTGACTGATCACACACATCAGTCGCAGTATCAACTTTGTCGTGTATCAAATATCACATGTTGAATATACAATGCCAACAATATGGTCATTATGCACATGTTGATGTATGCAGTGATCGTATACTGGTCGATTGGTGCAATATGATCACACCAATGGAATGTGATAATCATGATATTTGCAGCAGTATACCATATTAAACTGATACAATACATGCACGGTTTGAACATATCACACACATTACAATAAATGGCATGATACATACACTGACTTCATCAACATTGGATTTGATTGTAAAACATTGACCAATATCACCACCCAATTCAACGGGTGATCGTTTTGACAGCCTATTGTTTGATGGACTGTCAATTTCAAAAGGTGATTCTAATGCAAGTCGAATTGCAGCAACCACTTGTAACGCAAGTATAACGCATTCTAGAGTAATCAACATTGTATCGAGTAGTGTGATAAAAATGGGTTGAATCTGGTACATGATTGCCGTTTTATAATGACGGCAGCTTCAAGGGTGACAATCGGCACTTTTCAAATGAATGATCAGAAAAAAAGCCAAATACACCATGTAGGGTGAATCAATATACAAGCATCACTGTTGGTGTATAATTAACCTCGGTAGTATGCTGTGTTGATCTCTCCAATTGTGGTCATGTATCCAGTGATCAGGTAGTGCCATTATGGATAATTATCATCGCATCTACAATCCATTACCACAGCATACACTGTCATTGTATGCCAAGTATTTGACTGATTGTTCAATTGGTCATGTTTTTTGACCAGCATCCATCTGTGCACTGTTTAGATTGGTCCCATTTGTCATTTATCAGTCAATTTGTATACAGGTCGGGTTATCCAACGACTTGCTATCATGCAAATTCAAATACAGTCTATGCAACAGTCGGTTGTTTTTTGTGTATATCCAGGTTGAACTACCAATAATGGTTACTGCACACAAAGTCACTCAATATCCTGCCGATTCTGGTTGTGATTGTATTCCACATCCAGTTCTAGATTGTAATCACAACCACAATTACCGTGTTTGATCAAATGGTGTTTTGCATTGATCATGATATCACACATCACAATACTGCCAGATCACTGCACACAATTCATGATCAATACAAATACATTACTGATTGACACTGATCGACACCATATATACAGTCAGACTGCATAACAAATCACCAGCATGCCATTAGCCGTGTTTCAATACAATTGTCCAATATATCATGATGTATGTTGTATCGAGTCACGACATACAGTATTACTGACTGAATACAGGTCACAACTGCAAGTATTCATGTGGCAATGGACTGACATTGGTGTTGATATCGAATTGATTGATTAATCGATCATCATCAATTGCATCAGTGGTTGGTATATGCAACTGATATACACCATGTCCGAGTCTGATATATGTTGATATATGCCTGTCAATCAGAAATGCATATTTGTGGCCATTACAGTTGAATGTGAGTTGAGTCGATCATTGAACCAACGAATTACTGATTGCATTCTAAATGTAATGCGATTTGATGCGACATGACAATATATTGTTCAACAGGTTCAACACTGATATTCAATACATCACACATGAATACATTGCATATACAAACGGTAGCAATGACCAATCCAAACCAAACAGTGACAGAGTTACTCGTCAACATATACTCGATTATCAGTCGAGTCTGCATATATCAACTAGTTGCGACACGTCATAATCAATGTGGATTGGATTGTCCACCAATCGATCATGACAGCTAATCAATACCAATCATGTAGTCAATACAATCACCAACATATCCATGATTGTTGACTGGCGGTTACAACTCGTCAATTGTATCCAATGTTACAGGTGATGCACATCTGATTACTGCAAATCAACAACCTGTCAATCATATCATAGTGTGTATTGCCAACGGACCATGCAATTACAAATCAATGTATACGTGATCAACATTTGATATTTGATGGTGATGAGCCAACCATGATTGATTGTATCATACAACTAATACAGTTGCATTGTCTGATATTGATGATCAACCCAGTCATGTCAAACAGTAACTAATGCGTGTATATCGAGTTTGAGTTGCATGGACACATCAAGGTGTTTGATAACGAGTCCAACGTGATGATACAAGCCCAATATTATATGAATATACAAGTTGATGAATCAAGTCAAGGTTTGCAAAGTGTCAATATGTCAGGTCAATCAAACGAACCAGTCAACCATTATATTGTGACTAGTGATGGCACGGTTTGAATGTCAACGAGTTAGACAGTCGACAATATGGGTGATTGTGATTTGGTCAAACCGCAACACTCGCATATCACTGAACTGGTTTGATGTGTGTGATGTGCGTGGTGTAAGCAATATGCATAAACTCATTGATATCATGGACTATAACCATTCAGGAACGGGAAAACTGGGTAGCATGTTTCAACGGCTTGAATTTTTAGGAGATGCAGTGCTTTCTTACCTTGCAATGCAACATTTGTATAAAATTACACCACCGTTGAATCCAGGTGGATTATCAAAACTTCGCGCTGAGCTTGTTTGCAATCAATTTCTGGCATGTGTGTCGATTCAAATTGGGTTGGTAAAGTATATACGCCATACAGATATGACTATGGAAGCAGCAATCGGGCGGTTTGCTACATGGGTTCAAGGCTATCTCGCATCTGAATCATCTACTTCATTACCAATATCGACGTCAGCTACTCAAATTGCCTCTGCTCGAATGTTTTGGAACAAGGGAAATACAGCACCAAAAACTGCAGGTGATGTTTACGAGTCCATGCTAGGTGCTGTATTTGTAGATTCTCAATTTGATATACACTGCGTGCAAAGCATGTTTGACATCACAGTGATCTCACCTTGGTGGTGGCGATTCACATCGCTGTTTGGTGGAGAATCAATGATATACGAAAACCCAGTTGCTGAATTGCGAACCTTGTCCTATTCATTGTTTAAATGTGTCAAGATAGATTACACGTATGTTTTTTGTCGGGTAAATTTGACAACTACAAATCTATTGTCTGCATTTCTGTTGAATACAATTGCCAAAAAGTACTGAAATCCAACTATTTTTAAAAACAAAACATTCAGATATGAATATGGTCTACATGGAGGTACTACCGCAACTATCACGTATCACAACATGGTATTGGCTCAATGTCTCGGCACTGGGCAACGCGATGCCAAAAAAGCAGCGGCATGTACAGCCGTCGAGTATGTCAATATGCATAAAGACGAGCTAAAAGACTTGTGCGATTGTGCACATCAGCAAAAACAGGAGTCCACAGAGACAAAAGTATATGCAGCCGATAGCATCATTTGTTTTGATTCAGACAAGGACAAGCCGACACGGTCTAATAAGGAATCGGCTCGGCTTTCTATCGAGTATGCAACAACTACTGATCAACAAGATCCGGCAAGTGATTGGGGTGAGTCTGTTGATCAAGCAACACATGCACCACTTGAATCTATTGCAATTTCACCCGATACTTTGTAATGCACGAGTCGAAGCATGTTGAAGGCTTGTTATCGTGCAGTAATGATTGCGCATCCATCCACACTGCAATAGAGATCCACTCCACAACTGCAACCATAGTAATGAACCAGTCTAATTATAATCTTGAAATATCGAGAATTAATATATTGCAGCTTGACCAAATTTGTAATCGTCATCATCCATCATATCTGCTGCAGAATAACTGGATGAGCCAATATTAGCAACACGTCCTCGAGTCTTGCTTTTAGGAGTCGAGTTGGATACTATAGTCTTGGATACCTTTCCTGCTTTCTTGGAGCGTAATACAGCTTTAGTCTTTCCAGCAGCAGTGGGTTTATCACCTAACCGGTCAATAAGCCGCTTGCCAAGACGATTCTCAATTGGACCTGGTTTGGGTCCAAGACGCTTTACAAGGGGTTTGACCACTGAAATGGTCTTGGATGCTTTAGTACGACCATTACTTTGCTTGGTCATCATACTGGCAGCAGAATTGGACATTTTATGACCAGTCTGTTGTTGCTGCTTCAAGAGAGTTGCAGCAGTCTTTGCATCAAGTCTTTTGTTAAAAGTGGATGGCTCAAGTCTTTTCTGAACAGTTGTAGAGGATGATGGATGAACTGCTCGAGTCTTGGCAGCAACAGCTCTATCCCTTTCAATCAATGCAAACCTTGAGGCGAATGCAGCATGAGCATCGTTAATACAAACCATTTACACGTAGCAATGGCTGAATACTATCATTCTAGCCAACACTACTTACCGCTCAGCCAATGTCATGATAATATATCGACAAGATCTGAGCCAACTTCAAACTTTATTTAATCATTCTGCATATTGGATGATATGCCAAGGAATTCAGTTCAATATAAGCCTCAACAGTTCCATGAAGTTCCCGAAACACTATTCCATCCCAACTGTGCTCCATACGCTGTATTAATCTGGCATGCTGCCGAATTGAATGTTGTCAGCGCATTTTGGGTTGCAGTCTGTAGATACAGCGCATTGGCATGTGCTGCAGCTTGCTGATTAGCAGCGGCTATATTATTCCAAATAGCCTGATTCTATAATGGGTTTACATGTTAATATTTAGAATAGTAACTCAACCCTTCGAGTTTAAAGTTACCTGAAGTGCGAGATTTTGCTGCAGAGCAATCATTGCATTATAATAATTGCTATCGTTGTCCCAGTAAGTAGACAAACAGCCAGCATTCCACAAAACATTTCCATAACTAGCCAGATTGGTATTCCAGTTCTGCCACTGAGCCCAGTATACAGATGGATCAACCACTGGTGCCGCGGCTGCACCACCAACAGCATTGGCCGAAGCAATAGCTACGCCATTGGTTGCTATGGCAGTAGCAGTGGCCTGAACTTGTGCTTGAATGGCTGTTTGTTGTTGCTGCATGGTGGTATGAAACTGCATCGCAGCAGTCCCATATTGATCAAGAGTGTATGGACAACCTGTGCCCAAATCGCGTTTCTCAGTCGTGTAACCCATAGTAGTATAAGATGGAATGGCTGCTGCGATCTGCACCATCACTGCAGTTATAATAGTAAACAGATACATTTTATAAATAGCCAAGATTGGTTGATCAATAAAGATAGTGTATTGGCTTTTATATTCCTCAACTGCAAGGTTTTATTCCCACATTCGAATCAAATACAGCTTTACAATCCATTCCAACAAATAATAAAATAGTTTAAACATCCTTCAAGTCAATATTACAAATTCACATACATGCAAGTTGAGTTTATTGTGTCAAAGTGTGAACAGAATTGCAAAAATATATCAAGCATGGGAAAATTCCCAGTCTGGATATAATAAGCTTTTTAGGTGTGCTAACAAAAAATGGGTAGATTCAATTATTACATGCCTACACCATATCCCGGAGCAACTCCAGCACCGTATCCTGCGCCAACTTCAGCGCCATATCCTGCACCAACTCCCGCGCCATATCCAGCTCCTGATCCTGCTCCCCACCATCGTCGTTCCAAGCGTGTATTATCTTGAACACCTTTACACTCACCAATCTTGGCATCACAGCTGCCTAGTTGCTTGGCACGACATGATAGCGATTTGGACTGCAATTCAAGTTTTGCCGTGGCTTCACGAACACGATCAAGTTGCTGCAGTAGCTGTGTTTTTTGGTTACCTTGATATTGCTGTCCAAGATTAGATGCTGCACAGTCCAACAATGCAAGTTTTTGCAATGCAATGCCACGTATGAATCCACGCACTGCATTGGCTCGATCTACTGCTGCAGACTTGTCTTCACCACACGACACATCACTCTTGATTGCATTTTCTTGACATGTGGAAACCACATTGATTCCGGCACATGATGGTTTCATACCGCTCTTGACATCAGACCATGAATCCATAACCAATGGACTAGCAGTCGTGAATCTGACCATATTGTTGCCAAGACGATCATTCAAATCATGCAAACGAGTCAATGCATCATGACGTGCACCAAACGATGAATCAAACGATGAATCAGGCATTGCTGGTTGTTGAATACTGGATGCGTGCAATCTATCCAGCATGTCACGGATGGTTGACATTTGTTGTTGGATTACATTTTGCAAATTCTGGATGGTGTTTGCGTAATCGTCAACTGAACAGACGGATGATTGATGTGGAATATCAATGTTTTGAGTATCAGCAGTGTTTTGTGGAAATACTGGTTTTGAAAACGTTGGAGCTGAAAAAATCGGGATTCTGGCTGCATCCTGAATGGCAGGTCCAGGTCCAGGTCCAGACTCAGATCCAAAACCAGACTCAGATCCAAGACCAGACTCAGATGACAGGCCAGGACCAGGACCAAGACCAGTGTTTTGATTTTGGTTGATAGACGGTGCATTAAACTGGAGTCTGTCATTGATGGCAGGAACAGCAATGACTGCAGAAGCAGTGATAATCACAGTCGAAATAATAGTAAACTTCATAATAGACAAATTAACGAGCATGTTATACAACAAATCAGATGTTTTTATACTTGCACATCAATACAATATTAATGCGAATCATGACACGCAGAATAGTTTAATTCAATTACGAGCATGTCATTAAACTCTAATTAAACTATAAGCTTGATTTGATTCACACAAATTAACGTAAACTGCATCATCATGTAGTAGCAACAATTTGTAGAATACTGCTAGAATACTGTATGTTTCAAACAGTTGGTTGGTGCAGTGTTGTAACATGCACTTGGATTCTGACTACAGATCAAATGATCATTGTTTAATTACACCATATTGATGTAAATGGAATGTTTTTGTATTGGTATTGCAATGAATGTGACTGTTTTAGTTTGTAGTAAACACTGGTTGAATACTTGTTACACTCTCATATTGAAGATTGACTTGATGGACATTTTTGACTGATGCAACATCCATCATATCATACAAACGATAGTTTTGAACTGAAATAGTTGTTCATTTCTGTTAGTCATACGTTGTACAATCACCAGATTGATGTACTGCAATGCATAGATTAAACTGTTTTGATGGCAATCAAACTGTACAAACATTTGTATGCTAAAATCAGATACGTTTACGTTCTAGTTCAAGAAACCAAGAATTGCATGTCTTGAGAATGCAACTCTGCATGCCAATCACCAAAAGACTTGTAAAAAAGCTCAATGAAAATGTTGTACAGTAAATGCAATGTAAATCATCATATGAGATTGGCAGTTTATTATATATTGACACTCGTATTGGGTGATCCATTTTGCGTGAATACGACTGTATAAACCATTTAATCACTTGAAATGCCCAACCAATCGATTGATAATCAAACTCGATCCATGTGATTATAATTTAAATATTTATTTGTTTAGGTAAGTCGTCATCTTCATCTGTTGCTCCATATGCAGATTGCCCACGTCTTGAACTGAGCAGTCTAGATGATCCACTATCTCTTTTGCCAGTACTGCTGATGGATACGCTATTCAATACTCCCATTTCAATTTCATCGTCTCCAACCATATCATTCAAAAACCTTCGAATTTCATCATCAACATTCTTGCCAGTAATTTTTGCATAGTGATCTACTTGCTTCAGCAACTGTTCCTTATGATACTCTTGATATTTCCGAGGATCTCCTTCATAGTTGTCCATAAAATGGAGTTCATGAGGAAGAGCGTGTTTAATTTGTTCTGCCGCATCTTTGATAAACGGTAAAGTGAGATACAAAGCGGCAACACCACCAGTGAATATACACGGGACAAGGAGAGCATATTCGTGAATAGAAAGCCATGCGATTTGACCACACATGCCACCTGCAATAAACCCAAAAAGAATAGGAACATGAACTTTGAGACGCCATAACTCGGCCTTGGTATCGGATCGACACGCTTGACCCAAAATATTTCCTACATCTGTAGCGATTCCTGTCATGTGTGTTGTGCGAACAGCCAACCCAGAGTAAGAAGTCACCATTGCGTTTTGTAATCCGCAAGCAAATGCTGCAGCCCATTCGCCCAATACCAACTCTCGACGCAAAAACATAAACGATGTAAACAACGCAGCAGATTCTATACACAGTGTTATTCCGTAATTGGCACCAAGTTTGAATCGGTTGTCGCCCACTATAAATCCAGCCATAAACGATCCAAATGTAAATGATACAATAATAGATACGACCAAAAGAAATGTTTCCCAGTCTTGCTGAACAGCCGATATAGCAACCCGAGAAACCGATCCAGTGACATGAGAGACCGTCACACCTATAGGTTCAGTTGATAATTGTGTCAATGTGAACAGGTTTTAGTGAGCAGTCACCAATTGGTTTGTGGTATCAGAAAATATTGTGTTTTGCAATAACACAATCCATAGCATTATGAAAACAAATCATTAGAATACAAGAAGCGTGTTGTAGCAATCAATAGTTTGAGTCAGACTAACGCGAGTTTGGAGCATTTGATATGCAAAATGGTCAAAGAAATATGTATTCAAGTGGTAAATAAACACTATATATTGTGTTGTGCACTATGAATTGAAATACATGCAAGGATAGGATAGACTTCAATCATCTATTCAAGTCAAACTGAAGATGGCGCGACAAGATACACGGTTCATGGCACTTGCCTGGAAATACACCTGCCATAGAGACGACATTGATGAAACCGGCATTAGCAGCAAGAGCTACACCACCAGCAACAATGGTGTAAAACTCCCGTTCTGGCAAGTTATTCATGGTTTAGCGTATTATAGTGAATGCAACTTTGTAGTCTATGAAATACTGTCAGGGTTTGCAAAACAATGTTTGGACAAGTTGATAGGATTTAAATCACCGACATATTCACGTAAAATGGAACATTAAATAAGGATGTCAAAATACATGATATAAAACCAACTTTATGAAATGGTTGTGCCAGTTTACTGGACAACATTGGGTCATTTGAACTGACAAAGTTGACTGGTATCCTGGTGATTGAAATGAAAACAAGTATATTCTCGAAACCTGCGATCTTGTTCTCTTGAACTAGAACGGAAACATATCTGATAGTTTAGGATACAATAGAGTGGAGTTTAATTGAAAATACAACTGTAAAAGTAAAGTTGAACATATTTGATTTTATTCGTACAAAGAATTAGCTGCATTGGTGAGCACTTGATAGTATCGAAACAGGATAAACCAGCCTAGAACCAACCCAGATCATTTGTGCATTAAAACCAAACTCCATCTTTATCAAAAAATCAGTATAGAGCAATTATTGCTTTTCCAAAAAAGCAAATACTGCATTGGCAAATTTCTCGAGGGCAGTATCATCATACGATAGATATAGTGATGGTTCAATCAATTCCAGTTCCATCAAAACAGGTTTAACCCCATCGATAAGAGCCATGTCAGTAGTATATAGGGCATCCGATGATACCAGTTTTTAGGCGAGATTCTCTGCTGAAATGGTCAAAAGTTAATAGTATAATAATTTCATATCAAACTTTCGTCATAAATAATTCTTTCCGACATTCAACGCATTTAGTTTCTAATTAGAATCTGAATTTGACTTTTAGAATCTGAGCAGAATCTAATTGCCTGAAATTTGTTATATTTGTTTCTATGCAAGACTACTCAGTTGTTATTTTCAAAATTTGGTAAAGCTATTTTTATTATCAAACAACAATTAACGTTCAATGATGAAATCCTCCGGCTTTTTGACATCGTAACGATATCCTGATGGATAAACACAAATGAATCCAAGGTGTGCATTCTTTCTAATATCCTCTGGAAACAACGTACCACACAACACCCCAGCATATTTTGTGACATTTCGAAATTCTGGCTGGGCATTGGCTTGAAACTCCTTGAACTTGCGAATTCTTGCAGGGAGCTTGTTCACTTGCTTATCGGTCATATTATGCTTGGCCTCGCATAAGTACAGGACATTGCCATCTTTAAAGACAGCATTCCACTCCTGGACAATGGTTTTTCCGTCTGCAGCCATAATGTCCGTTGGCATATCTACAGCTGAAGGACCAAGATGGGTAGCAAGGAATCGCCTCACGGCCAAGTGAGTTTCCTCCTCCATAGCTTGGTCTTCATTCTGCTGCCAACGTACTTCGTCAGCAAACGACCGTTCGTAGCGAGAATATACATTGTACTTTTCTCCATTGATCAACTGCTTGAACTTGATAATCTTGTCCTTGGGATTGAACAGCTGGTAGAGAGCCGAGCCTTTTCCTTCGAGGATCTGTTTCAAATCATCATTTGATTCAACAAGATATTTGGAAAAGCTATCCAAAGGACAGCACTCTTCATCAATATCCTGAATGAAGATTGTTTTTGGCTACTCGGCGCGGGTTCCAGAGTCTTGACAATCAAAGGTAATTTGGCGGACAGACCAGCAGTGGAAATGCTCGCAAGTGGAAGATCAGGTTCAAGAGCAGTATCATCCGATGTCTTGTGGAGGGTAAGCTGAGCAGAGGAGTAGGAGTTGAGCTTCGGAGAGAGCTCCTGCTTGATGGCCTTGGCAAGGTCACTGATATTTAAGCAGCCAGCAGTAGACACGAGTGGCTTGACTGCCATTATGTTTCACCCATAGTTTGGCCAGGGTGCTGCTGTGACGAACTATTCTCAACATTGTTGTTTTTTTTAAAGGAAAGAAAAAAAATTCCAAGGTCAGGGACGTTAAATGGGCTGCTTGGAATGACGTATTATTGGAATTGAGACTAATTCATATTCAAAAAAGTTCACATTTTAAAACATTTCAGTGGTGTCTGAGTATAAAAATGACAACTGCACTTCAAATGAGTCAAATGAGTGATTACAGCCGTTTTACTGACTGGGTCAAGAAGCACCTAATATAACCTTGGACAATCATCACTCAAATTGACGTCCAGTTTGTTCGGTTATATTGAAGGGAATTGACCAGTTCAATGAGAACACCAGAAACTGTCAAAACAGACACTGAAAAGTCTAAATCATTCTTATTGAAATGCTACACTACGACATCAATCTCTCAGTGTGCTGGATGAGTCATCCTCATACAACTTTACTGGGTTGGATGCTGAGGAAATCAAAAACCAGCTGACGAAATCCATCCGATTGAATATGAAGCAACTCAAAGCGACCGATGTACTGGCATCAAAACAAGTAATGCTGATAGCAAGGTCCTTGATGAAACTGCTGGAAACATTTGGGGATGGGCACAAGGGACGCTTCTTGGACTATGTCAACAGCAGACTTGGCATCTCCAAATCATCCTACTACTACTACTACATGGAGTATTATGCCTTTATGTCAAAGTATCCGAAATTCCAAACTCTGGCAGTGTCCTTTAGAGTGTTCAGAAGTATGATTCCAAAAATCAAGGAATGGTTTATGTCACCAGAGTGTCAAGCTTTGGACTCTTCTGATTTCTACTCTGAACACTACTGGATGAATGTTGATGATGAAATGGATGACGACGATATGAATGTTTTAAACGAACACAATTCCACTGCGGTGGAAAACCTTCGCAACAAGTAGTTCCTCGTCAGTCGATGACTCCTTCAGACTGCAGTGATAATGATAATGCTATCAATGGTGAACTGACATTGCTACTTTCTTTCACGGAGAGCAAAGTACTGAAAATGTCCACCGCAGTGGAAAAAAGTTCTAGCTGTACACTCCTTGATATCTTCGTGATAGACAGCACTGATGCATTCAAACCTATTTCCACCACATTAATGTATCTTTTGTATTAACTTGTAAATAGAAAATCTCTGCAACTATTGTGTTTATTATGAAAATTTCATTATTATCGGGTGTGTTTTTGAGCCAAACATTGTCCTCTGATTGTTTAGTTTTCTTGTACTTTTTAGCTCTCTCCTTCTCTGCCTCGGTATTAGCAGCATAATAGTCTCGGTATCGTTTCCTTTCAGCTTGTTTGTTTCTAGCATAGTAATCTCGGTACCATTTCCTTAGTTGTTCTTGTTCTTCTGGTGAATACGAATCCCAATTCTTAATACATTGAATGTACGCTTGGCGAGTTTTAATGAAACTAATGAATGTCATTTATACAGTTGGTTTAGAAAATAAGCTCCGCTTAATGTTCTCCGTTTTTATAAGCTGGACCTCTAATTCTACCCAATTCTTCCAATTCTCTTTTATTTCGACGCTCCTTATTTGTCATTCGTGGTTCTCTCTGTCTAGATTCTGTATGAAACCTTTGGGTAGATTCAATACGTTGTAGTTCATAGTATTTGTATGCCTTTGGAAGAATATTACCATCATCATCTGCAATAAAGTACGAATAGCCATTGCCACTGATGACCTTATATATACTGTGACTATACTTTGGCTCATATCCTTTACGAAATGCTTGCCTAGTTTTTAGCAATCTAACTTTGTCACCAACACCTATAGCATTCTTCTTTATTTTTACATTCATTGTTCCAGTGGATGGATTGCCTAAGTACAACTGCTGAGGAATACCATTTATACCTCGGTGATAAGTATGGTTGTAATTGTAAACAATATCTTCCAGTACATCAATATATGTATTTGTTCGCCGAGCTTCTTGGTAAAGAGCAATGATGTTCTCTAGTGTTCTATTGAATCGTTCAATTATGCCTTGTCGCTTGTGGTCGCCTACTTCCACCGTGATATGCCGAACACCTTTGGATGTCAATAATCGCTGAAATGCTCCGTTTAAAATTTCTGTTCCATTGTCACTTTGAATAATAATTGGGGTTTCTATATCTAATACTTTCTTCATCGCTTCGGTGCTATCTGATTTCTTCTTCATCGCAACGACAAATGTCCTTCTACTGAATACATCAATCACACAAAGATATTTGTATCCACTATTCCACTTGGCATATCTTGACAGATCAATCAAGTCAATCTACCATTGGTCATTTACAGAATACACGTTGATACTCTTAAATGAAGGTACGCTTCTTGGTTTTTGAAGAAAATTCTAAACTGTTTTCATTAGCACTTGTTTGTCGAGTTTCAGATAAAGTTTTTGCGCTGAAAGGAGTCCTGTCTTTGGATTGTAGTATAATTCATACAACTGTTCCATTAACTAAATACAAGATAATGATTTCTTATAATTTGGTTGAAAATGTTTGAAACCCAATTCTGAATCCATTGTCATTAAACAATTTCACTCCTGTCTTGGTTAATGAATATATGTTCATCTGATTATTCTTGACTCTGAATCCATTGTTAACAAATTCCTGAGTAGAATTACCTTTTAAAGCATCCACATACTTTTGTTTTGTGATTTCATTTTGTTTCTTGTTAATTCCCTTTTGAACTGAATTTGTTTTCATCACAATAGTACATTTTACTGGCCAAGGATATAATACAGGTTCCTTCATATTCCAACTTGAACAGACCCGGTGTTCTGCTGTCATACACCTTATTCTCAATGGTATCGTCTCTTTCCAACCACAGATGCCGATTCTTTTTAAATTCATCTTTTAAGCTTGGTTTTATGACTTCTAACGATTCATCAGATATAGCAATGTAAGCTGAATCAGTGTCCATCATACAGTACTGATAATCACTTTTGTCAATGGAATAATCAATAGAGTCGTAGTAAAATTGAAGCATTCGTAGTTTCGCTAATTGATACACTTGAAATCTAATATGAATAGGTAAACTTTGTTTGAACGACATCTTTTTGAAACGAAACTCGCATCCTTTGTTCATGTCTTGATGTTCAATGTAATTATTCCTTCTGATGTTTTTGATGTAGTTATCTCCAGTAACAATCTTGGCTGTTTCGTGCTTCAAGAAATTCGTTATAGATTTACCATAAGATGAATTTCCCATCAATTTCATCATTTCTCCACGTAATTTATAACCAGGACTTGTATCTCGGACTCTTCTTTCATTTGATACTTGCTCAGAAAACGACTTGAAAGGTGCTTTAAGTATGTATCTTACAGTAAAAGTAATATTTGAAACAACCAATCCATGCTCAAGATACCATTTCAGCAGTTTAGTAGCAAACATCATCGTCTCACCAAACATACTTTCAACTAATCTGTTACTTTTGTAATCTGGTTTGGCATGTGCCTGTGTCAAAGCTTAAATCATTGCATGTAATCTCAACATTCTTGAAAATAGGAGGCATTCCAGCAAAGCATTCCTTTAAATGTTCAGGAACAGCAATATCACATTCTATCATTCCAAAGAACGTGTTATCCAAGACATCTTTCAGAATATCGGGATAGACTTGAACTACTTGGTGCTCACCACACGGCATATCTTGACTTATCGCCCACAGATATAAAGCATTGGTATCATATCCAAGTATTCCCTGACAAAGCTTTCCTTTTCTAATTCTGGTCGTCTTTTTCTTGATAATGATAAAATACGATACTTGGACCACCAACCAGATTATCTCTGTATTTGTGGTACAATTCGTCATTCCCTTTGAATAACTGAAACTCGCAGTCTTTGCTTTTTGTGTGCCAGAGATATTTAAGAGTGAGTCTAGGAACAAAGATGCCGTTTTTGTGGATATCAAGATTCAACGACTGAAAGAAATTACCCAGCTTCTTTGTCGCTTCTACACCTGGTTTCGCATCCAAATTGTTGTAGTCGTTCAGCAAATCGTACAGGTTGGTGTGAGTGAATACCATTTCATTATAATCGTTTGATGAAACTGATTCTCCCTTTAGATTGTTGTAAAACCACTTTTTGGATGGAATATGTGAGTGTTTTAAGAGCTTGAATGACATTATCAGAATATTGTGTCAAATCTGGATGTTCATCAATGTATTTCGATAAATTCCGAGTTACTTTATGTGGAAATATTCCCATTTGTGATTGTGTGTCAAACATTTTCAAGAACTTGTCAAATAAAGTATTTGGTGGTTGAAAAGCAAGAATGTCGTTAAAAGCAAACGATCCATTTGATATCATTCGGTATTTGTTACATTTAATAATGTCATTCACTTGACCGTTTTCAGCTGAATGAAACTCACAACCCCAAATTGATCTTGTGGTATATCCCATTGTTTGAGAGCTGATTCCTTGTTTGCTGTTTTTTCATACAATATGTTCATCGTATCTCCAGTTAAAGGATTGATATCTTCTGATTTGTGACACTTTCTACATCAGTGGAAGAAGCATCCCAAAAAGTCATAGATTGTGTTTGATTCTTCATCGTAGCCATCAACATTGTATCGTTCAATCTTTTCGCATTGTTCAATATTACGATCTAATTCTCCTTCAATTGAATTAATCTCAAAGCTTTTCGCATTTGGATACATTTCCATGTTTTTTAGAGTGTTTCAAGACTTGTGGAGGGTATTTCTTGATGATGTTAATGTCATATGATGAGCTATTGAAGCCATAAATAGGAAGAACACCAAGCCATTCAAGTAATTGTAATCTTAATCGTTTCTGAACCTTTGCATCGTCCAAACTGGCCATCATTCCAAAGAACCGAGAATACTTTGAATACAACAATTGCAGATATTTGTGTTGTATTTGATCCATTTGTCATTACTATATCCAAAGCTTCTTCAATTGTACCTTCAACTGGGATGAATTGAGCCTTGTTTTCTTCACTTCCAATGAAACTTGTGCTCAAAAGTTTGTGTGTTTCAATGAATGAGCTTCAAGTTGGTCGTAGATTTGACTGATTTCAACCAAGTTTCAAAATCAAAGTAGATGAAATATGGATAAAATCTCATTTCTTTTGGTATATTAATTACATTCAATTCGTTTCAATTCCAAGGAAAGCGGTTGTATCTTGGATTCCGGAAGTTCAACAAAAATACAACCATTATCTTCGCCATAACATTCTTTCAAAAAAGTAGTCTTGCCGCATCGATATCTACCAGACAAAGAAATCGTATCGTGTTGCGTCTTTTCAATTATTTCCTTTTCAATCGTTTGTTCGACTACAAGCAAATTATGCTTAGTTTTGACAGCGGGTTCAGGTACCTTGCTAAATAAATAATCCAAATCGTAGACACCGAGAACATTAAAGTCTTCCCAGGTTACCAACAACTTTTCTTTTGTTGCTTCATCTATTTGAGCAGCCACGAGAATCAATGAACACTTATCCAAAAGGTCATTTTCCTTCATAGAAATAACTTTGCACAACCCAGAGAACTTTTGCACGGAATCAGTATTCAAGAGAGCATCACTGCTGGTTTTGATGTTAAAAACAACCCAATGCCGCTTCCAAGTTTTGTCAATATCACCCGAAGAAGGTGTCCTTTCACGAAGAAGTATATCAGCATCAGTTCCATCGTAAAAATATTCATATAATTCATAGCGATTACTCGGGAGGTTAAGAATATCTCCAAGTTTACGAAAAAGAGCCTCTCCTACAAAGCTACAAATAATATTTTCCATTGCGTACCCCCGGCATCGAGCCCAAGATTTTTCAACAATGTTAGGTCCTTCGTTGTAGTCAGTCCAACAAATTCGAAATTTTTTAGAGTCTGAGAAATACGGAATCTCTTTCAAGAGTCCTCGTCTCACCAGTTGAGAAACATCTTTTTGAAGATCTTGCTGAATAGCCATCTTGCTGACACCAGTTGTTGGAATCGCGTTGAGTAAATCAGCACTGATGCCTCTTTCCCGAAGAGCTGTTCTGGCTTCATCGATACACTTATGTAGTAAATCCTGTGGAAATTTCTCGCCAAGAGCAATTTTGGATCTGGTATCGTCATCCAATTGAGCAAGCATGTCTTTTGCAAAGAGTTGGTAAAGATACGGATCGCCACCAAAGACAGTCCAAAAGTTCAGAACACAGATGGAGCTTACGTCGTCAATTTGGAATATAGCTCGTATCAGTTGTTTAACTTCCGGAGGTCTTAGATCCGATAAATTGACCCCTGCCATTCTTGCTGAAGCGCTGCCTCCGTAATCAATTGCGTTTTTTCCATGAGGAGGAGTTCCCGTTATTATAAAGTGAGGTCGTTTAGCACCTTCCTTGACAATGAATTCAATGAGTCCAAGGTGTCTTTGTGATTCATCAAATACCACACGCTTAATCCCCTTTTTAAGAAGCGCTCCCATTATCTGACGAAAAAAATCAGAGTTCACATCATAATCACGACGAGGAAGATTATCAAAGTTCAATTGTACACCCAACGTATCGGCAAGGTATTTACAATAACCAAACCGGACATATTGAACATTTAGATAAGCAAGAGGGTTGCAAGAAAGCTTAAATGGCAGCATCGAATTTTGTGCTTTACCGTCTACTGTAAGACGATTAACAAGACTTTGACCAGTACCACTCTTGGATTTAATGACAAGTGGATGGTCGTAAGAACCAAGATGATTTTGAATGGAGGTTAATAGAGTATTCCCAGCAATGGCTGGACCATCCACCACATAATGGAGAGTGAGGTCTCCAACAAAAGCAGAAGCAAGAGGAGAGTTGGGAAGTGCTTGGAAAGCAGCAACCAGGTCAGAAATATTAGGCTCTTCTCCTTCAGGGACAGGCAACTTTTGAGTAAATAATGATACCGGAGTGTTTTCAAGGTATTGAATATAAAGCCTGGTCATTTTGGAGTTTATGAAGGAAAGGAATAGAATAGAATAAAGTGAAGTGAAACAATGAAATGACAAAAAAAGATCAAAACGTGAATTTGTCTCACATTCAAAACTCGATATCACGTGAACAATGTGAGACAAATTCACACTTTGAATAGTGTTTAAACATTTGTCATGTGATTATTTGTATTGTTCAATCGAGTGTCAATTCAACTCAACTCAATTGATTACGTCATTCATATAATGACTCGAGTCTTTTATTCAACATTTTAATATTCAATTATTGTTAATCAGTCAATTGTTGGATTGGTAAATACGCTACAAAACATTCATTTACATGCTGAATCTGACAAGTGAATAATGATTGTTCCAATCAACAATTGGATTGAATTGACTGCAATATTGTCATTGATTACAGTCACTGTTGACCAATACATTGTAATACATTGACAGTCTCGATATCAACATTGTCATTCATGTCAAGTTGTGTGTAGTTGCCAACATCACACCTTGACAATACTGTTGTTCTTGGACGTATGACAACATATTAATGTAGTATAGTTTTGGAGGAATATCACAAAAGTAAAAGATGAGAATGAAGGAATGAACCAATGAGTTAATTGTGTTGTTTATTGATAAAAGAAAACATTGATCATTTTATAAGAATGTGGATAACGGTTATGCGTATCCGTGAATTAGACGTCATAGCTGAGAAAGTCTCTTGTTATTGCACAAGTGATGGCTGCGATAGACATCGCCTCAAACATATATGCGTCGTGTATGAGTCTCTGAAATATCTCGTTATTTATGATATTTCACATTACCAATGTTTAACTTTGGCACAGTAATGCGGACTCGTGCACCGAGTTGAGTTGTCCAGCAATCGATTTTGGAAATGTGTTTGATGTGATGGTTTGAGATGAATGCCAAATGACCACGAATGTTACCAATTGTCATGACAGTTGATTGTTGATTCAAAACGTTGTTTATTTGGTATTAATGGTTAGTGTCACTCATTGACCTGTCAGATCAGCAAGTGTTATTTCGGTGAGTTTCGTGTTTATTGTAGTCACATCAACATCAGCAGGCTGCACTAGGGATTTGCTTGACAGAGTTGCAGATCCAGTTGGATTGATAGACGAGCAGCTGTGCAAACAACTGTGCGAGTTGCAGGATGTTTGAGATCCAACAAAACACTGCTTGCACACAAGTTCACGAATGCAGATTGTCAGACTTGACCATCAACTCGCAGTATAAATTGCGTGTACGACAGTTTACACGCTTGTCCATCAACAATAAACCCACATAATCAGCAAATCATCAACGAGCAGCCAGCTCAGTGGTCGGGTTGATGTTTTTTATTGGAGTTTCTGGATCAAACTTGACCTGATTTGTACCGAGTTGTGTCATGGCTACAAGTTTGACAGCAATATATTGATCCACTAATAATCTGATCGTGTTGTTGATTGTATGGATGTTGGTAATCCGTTGCAGATTGATACGGAATGTGACCAGAATACCACAAAGTTTATTGAGTGTGCACATTGCATTCGATGCAAAACGCAATAAACAAATGCGAGTTGCAGCATTCATTCAAGGTTTGACACCAGTCGATACAGCATTGACCGCAATGGCATTTATGTCAACAATTGCACGACTACGGAATAAGTCGATTGTTGCTTGGCATTCCGTATCGACAGTCTGCGTGTGTGTGCAACGTGCTGTTGTTGCATATAAACAACTTGAATTGACTTTGTGGACAAAACACAGTCACTGTTGCGATGATGTCCACAGTCGTGGAAATGGTTTCGAATACCACAACTGGTATAACAACTGCATGTGTTGGTGAGCAACCAGAGTCCAGTTTGACCAAGATCTGTCCCAGTAATGATCGAATGACATTGTCGTGTTTGGTCATCATGACAACAATGTCATTGGTTTGGCTCTGCAACTGACCAAATGCGCTAGTCACAGCGATCAGATCAGTTTTCAAGGATACAACTTGCATGGTGAGGTATGTGACTGTTTGTAGCATCTCGTCCATCGATATGAAAAAGTCAACGTTTCCAATCGAGTTCATATTACCTCGAGTTGCCCTGCCAGTAGTTTGGATTGGACTGATACCACGCAAATTGTTGGTCTGCGTGTACACTGACAAATCGTTGTTGATCAATCGCATGCCCACAGATCCAACTACATATACCAGTCGAGTTGCATCAGACGCAGATGCACTGTCTGGATCAATCGAAAGCACCTTACATTTGTCACGGATGCATTGGGTGGTCGAGGAAACGGTACTGGTTGATTGATGCGGTGATCTTGCCATGTTTTCAGCAATCATGAGTTTGGTCCAGTCACCACTGCAGAGACTGCAAACACTGAACAGGATCTGGTTGAGTACCGTGATTGGGTCTTATTTTTGACTGTAATGGATGTTTTGTTATCAACGATTGTTGAACCAGAAACTTGTAACTCGCGCACATACTCACAGAGACTGATAGAATCACTCAGTCATGACATGAGCTGCCACATCCTCAATCTATCAGCTTCACCGGGAAGCTTACTGCTTGTGTACATCATCTGGTCAGCCTGTCAAATATAAATAGTTGACACATACCAATAAATAAAACATTAGTCAACCATAACTATACAGTTGTATCAATCCAGCACAGCTTGTGTAATTTCAAAGCTAAACCCAAGATTTATACTAATACAACCAACTTACTTTATACCGAGTTTCAAAAGGCGGTTTGTCACACGCCAAAACCCGTTTAGCATAGCTGTATGACAGCATAGATGCTTGAGCATCGGTATAATGCTCAACGGGTCCTGATGAATGACCAGTCACTGCTGAATCTGGTGCAATGGACTCTGCAGTATATATGGTTGATACTGTAGAGTCACATTGCTTTCCAGACTGCAGTATCCTAACTGCCTCAATCAAGGATGAGACTATAATGTAAATATTTTAAAACAATCAATCCATCAGTCAATATAATCAGTATAGTTACCATCAACACACTACAACCTAAACAATCCACAATACATGCATTCACATCCAAAACTCGTGAGAAATTGATACAAAAATCACACACTTACTTGGTGAAGCAGGGATTCTTGGATCATTGATTGCACTGATTGTACTGATTGCACTGATTGGGCTGGATGTATACATATCAGTATATATGTTTTCCTGATTTGAACTAGTCAATCACAACATTACAAAATTATGCACAAACAACAGTAAAAGTTTAAAGTAGCATTCAACCCATTGTCCCATAAATCAAATTAGGCATCAACCAATTCAATCCCAAATAATAATCAACCAGCACAGCATACCAACCAATTCAAATCACAATTGATGCACATCGAATGACGTTCAATGACATTAGATAGCATCAAAAACAGTCAAAATCATTACCATCAAAGTCGCGTAGTCGGAGTCGAATCAACAAAATTAAATTCGGCAACGTTTCGAGTCCATCCCAAAATACCGTAAATGCAATCATCAAATCGTAAATAATACACATGCAAGTAAACAGTCATGTTAGCAATGTGTTGTGTAACCAAAATACAATATTCAGATGCACAACTATAATACAAATACTGTACTGCATACCTTTCTGGATTCATGCTTGCTTCGGCAAGGTGTGGTGCATTTTCACAAGCATTGGTTGGTTGGGGAATAGTGTTTTGCACACTACGGCAAGACTGTTTTGGAGAAAGAGCCGATAGGATGTTGAGACGGGACCACAGTGAGCTCATTATTGGTATTTGTAGGGTGTCAGGAAATGAATGGAAATGGAAATGTAAAACGAGTTGATCTCGAAACTTGATAACAATAATATGGGTAGCAGTTGTAATAGTTGCAATAGTTGCTGCAAACTAATACGTTTAAACAAGTAGTGTGTATGACTGTTTAACAAAATACACAAGGGAAACAATCAGATCTGAGATTTGGATCAATAAGTGGATGGACAAGTATCTCCAATACCAATCTAGTTTCAACAACACAATAGTCGGCATTTTCAATGGGTTTGGTAATCCAGTCAATTCGATCCTCCCAGAAACAGTGAAATGATGAATGGGGCAAATACATGCCAGATTTTGCCGTCATTTCATGTATATAGCCGCGATAACAATCATTGATGTCAGTCGAATCAATCAATTTGTGTAAAAATGAAACAAAAAGTCTTGGACGGCCTTGAAGAGACTGTGAGATTTCTTGAAGGTCAATATTCTTTGACACATCAATAGTAGTTTGAAAATATCAGATGATTTCAAGTAGTTGAAGTCGGTGAATATCAATATATTATCTGGTTTGAGTCCAGCAGCAGAGTATGTCAAGTCCATGGTGCAGATTCGCATTTGTGTTCCGCACCATATATTGTTGAAGCCATCTTGGATAATAGTTCTGGTCAAAAACGAAAACAACGACCGAGGAGAATCAAATTGTCCAGCAGTGTTGATGCAGTTTTGTTGAACGATAGTCCGACTTTAAAAGACTTAACATATGCTGCGATTCGTCAAATATAACACGACCGTCTTTTAGGAACCATGATTTCAACTGTTGATAGACTTTACCAAACGCAGACCAAGGAAGCTTAGATAGATGATCGAATATTTTACAAAAGAGTACACCAGTTTGTATACTTGTTTGAATGCATAGCCATGTAAAAGGCTTGAGATCGGGATTTGTTTCACAGAGTGTTTTCAGAACAAATATACGAGCAGAAATCAAACACTGGATCAGTCTTTTAGATTGGTATTCAAAGACTGCTTGATTCTTGTCCGTCTTTTTGGCAGGTGCCAACTGTGCCAACTTGTCAATCATTGCACTGAAATCAGGTCGATAAAACAGTCAAATACACAATATCGACACAAACCATAGCAGGTTGTTGTTCACATCCACTGACACCGATCATGACAATATTGTGTAGTTGTCAGTCTGTCGATTGGCATTTCTATTCCGATTTGTATGTTGCCAGAATAGACTTTTGAATACAAAACATTAGGGATTGTGACAATGTCTTTGATGTCGATGTTCATGATGGTTTGATCCAGATGAATGGTTTTGATTGAATGTTGGACACACAACAGTTGTGTTCATCATACAAGTGTATTGACTGGACAAGGTTCACAAGAGTGGTTTGTAAAGTGAGTTCATGTCCATTACAGTGTCTAGTGTCGATGATACAGAGTTTAACAGACATATCACTGTTGTATTTGATGAGTGGATCAGTTTCAGTGGTTTGATCTAGTCCAAGAACAGCAAGACAATACCATGAATTGCAAGTTATTTCCACTCCATCAACAACAAAGTGGAAAGTAAGAAGTTGATGGTCAACTGGAATACCAACAAGCCTTTTAGTTGTCTCAATGATGGTGGTTGCGACCAAGTCAACAACAGGCTGTTGTTCAGCAATAGAACCTGTTGGCTTGGTCGCAGATTACAAGACAGGATCACTTTTGGTCGATACACTAACTGAATATCCACTCTGTGATGGATCAAGTCGAGACCAACTACAACGCATGGGACTCGCTTGCTGCACTTGTAGCAAATGGGACTGTTGGATCCAGTCCACTCATCATCAAATCCAAGAATGATGTTGGCTCAAACCCAACAATCACTGATTCATACAATTATTTCAAGAAAACTATCCAGATCAATGGTATCAATGTTTCTACAAATCATCTCAAAAGACCTGATCAACTTGACAAACTCACATACTTGGTTTGAGTATCGGTTTGTCATATTGACTTGTTCATCTGATTCTGCAAAACCTATATTCATTAATATGTATCAACATAGTTTCAAACAAATGTCATTTGGATTTGTTTCTTGGACAAGATTGCACGACACTTTTGTTGGAAATGCATTGATTGTTCCAAACAACAACGGATAGAATTGGAAAAAGTAAAACTGTTGTTTCTTGATGATGCTCAACAGTAATTACAAGACACAAGTTTATGGAGACTTTTAATCAAAGCATCGCTGAGTTGGTTGTCATTAAGCATGCGATTTATCATTGCATCAAACCATCTTTTTGTTGGAGGAATTTCAAGTCCTGTTGAACTCGGTAGTCTTTCAGGTCTTGAAAAGTGACTTTCTACTTATTCCAGCCAAACTCTGTGAATTCCATGAATTCCATGAATTTACTCGTTATTGGGTTGCCAAACAACATGAACAATGAGACCTTGAAACATGTTCTTGTAACGGAATGTGATGGTCTTGTTGGTGCGCTGTGTGTGTCGATTGATGATCTAAAAACACAATGTCTAAACAACATTGAACCCACTCGAGCAGATCTACTACAATACTGTCTATCAAACGATTCCATGTTGGATATGACTCGTTGTTTTGGAAGCGACCATTCAGATCTGATTAGAAATGGTTTTAAACTGTTACTCAAGAAATGTCTGACAAAAATCATCGATTGGACAACTTGGAAAACCAGCAAAATATGGAATCTTATTCATCACTCAAAAGGCTGGAATATTGATGGAGTCGTCCGACCTTGAACTTGCTTTTACTTTGCTGTTGGTCAAAAAATACTATTCAAATGGACATTCACAAACTGCTTCCCATCACAACATTTGTCTCTTCAAAAACTCATACGCAATGTTGTCTCATCAATATCGACCAATGTATTGGAATCTGTTTCGTCATGCGGTTTTCCAAATGAAACAACTTTACAGCACATGTTTATGGAGATATTGGTTTACTTGACTAAACCAGACTGTTCAATCTAACCAAAACTATCAAAAGTATTTCCCAACAACTCGAATGTGACGGACACTATTGCTGGTGGAATTGATTATTATTTGGACAATGGACTAGGAATCAATCAACACATTGACAGATTTGTCATCCTAAATGGAAACAACGACAATCCAGTTGTAATCCATATTGAGCCTTGAATTCAAACAGTCGTGAATCAAATCATTAATAAACTACAAAAACAGTCCAATATGCCAACTCGCATTTATCCACAACTCGATATGTGATGTTCAAATGTCTAATATTCAGACTGTGTTGATTGCAATTGTGGTTGTAATTGTGGTTGTGTGTAAATATCAATCCAATACTCGATTCAATACTTGATTCAACTTGAGCATGTACAGTTTTGTAGTAATCCATTTGATCACATTGACAGAATCAAGCAATGATCTGATTCAACAACACCAAATGATGCATCCATATCACTTGTATCAATCAATTGTACACAATCAGTCAATATAATCAACAATCACTGTCATGATTGATTCAATTCATTCAATTTATTCAATTGCATAGATCTGACTGGCATTGCAACTCATTGTTGTAAAATCACAACCTCATAATCTATCACCAATTATCAAGATTATACACCCACTCATATATGTATTTGTTGTATGCTCTTATGATTCGAGTTCGGTCACTTGTCAATTTATCTCGATAGTGTTTGGCTTCAGTTGGTGATTGAACACCTTGAATATACTGCGTGATATCATTCCACAGTTCAGGCGGTATGCATGCCTTATCAAGACTCGAGTTGTACCATTGTGGTTGTTGTGGAGCCACATGCGCAGTCGAAACAATCCGACGAGATGGATTCACTACAAAAAATGTCAGAATCTTGCAGTGTCCTGGTTGAGTTGGATCTGCAAGTTCAAATGATTGCTCTTTGTGCTGGTATCGATTGGGATAAACTGCACATCGACCATTTGGTAATTCAAGCGATCCTATATACTGATTCTGTGGTGATTCTTGATCAATGTCATACACATCTCTCCAATACATATCAGATGCTCTTTCATCAAAACGACTAACAGCCTCGCGGAAATCGAGTTTGGGTGTGGTGATATTTTCCACGTCGTAGTAATACAGTCCAATCGCAACAATCGATTCGTTAATTGGACCTTCATTGTGCCAGTTTCCCTTGTCGTATTTAGGTTTGGATGGTGTCAGTTGAATGTTGGTGAGTTTGACAATGACTTGTAGATTACGACCACGCAGTGACACTGGTTTTGCTGATTCATATTTGGGTTCAAAATGTTCCGGAAGTGTTGGTACATACACGGGACGAATGACTCGAGTGTCTGATTCCATATCATCATAGTCTGAATGCCTTGGTGGTTCATATCCCTTTATGCCATTGTGAATATCAATATACTTGAACATTGGATTCATCGTTCTGAACAGACTTTCAAACATTGGGACAAAACATTTGAATATTTTGGCAATGCATTTGTACATGTCTCGATGCCATATCGGATTCAGATTGTTGATATATGAGTTGATGGTCACACTGCCATCCTGTTCGACACGGAATTCACTCGGAAGACATTGGAACTTGCGTGATATAAACTCGGAATTGCCGTCAATGATGGGCATATCTGAAACAAGTCGAGTCGATAACAATATATCGCATGGTACCATTGTGGTGTATTTGAGTCGTATCCTCAGTGGTGCAATCATCGTTTGTCCATATACAACACTGTACATTGATGCATCAATCAGATTGTGCACCATTTGACCAGTGTTGTGATTTGATCCATGTTCAATATCCGATACATTTGTCATCAATCGCGTATGTACATTGTCAGGTATGCCATTGTCCAGTATATACGTCAGTTCAACAGGTCCTGGGACAATTGTGCCAAATCCATCACTGCCACTACAAACAAGCTGCTTGACAAAAACCTCGAGTTGTTCCAATGCAAGATTAAATGTTGATGGCAATATATTCTGATCGAGTGAGTCGGCCCTCCATTGCTCCACAATATGCTGGTTTGTGATATCGATCCACCACATGGGTTTGCAAAGTATATGTTGCAGATACTGGATATACTGCATCTCGACAAGTGTGCGTACCTCTCCATGTTTATATCCGGCCATTCCAGATTTCATATCAATTTCGGCATTGTCGTTGTATGGCCGAATGTTCGAATTAGCAGTGTAAGCCCGATGCTGAAAACACGTTCCAATGATCTGGTCAGCAACCCTCTTGTTTGTGTAGTCAGTATCATCCGATTGTAGAATAGCCGTTAGATTTTCAAATATCCCGCCTTGCTCCAACTCGGTACGTATTGAATTGTCGGGATGATTGTCGGCAAAATTCACAAGTGTTTTGA